ATCAGTATTGGAGGTATGCAAATCAGAAGACCAAAGATAAGTTTTCCCATCATAATATGCACAAAATTATTTGTTAAATGTTCTAAAGTGGCAATTAAACTAATAATATACTTACAACACAGAATAGCTGAGTTTCATTCAAACAGATGATAAAAGTCAGCTAACATTATATTGAAAAGTGCAGACTCCTTTTAAATAATTTTTTATTTCTCCCACTGCATTTCACATTTCTTGTCATAGTTGCATGCACCCTACTGCGTTTGTACAGTTCTTTTATGGACTGCATGACCTCCTCTGACTTTAAAGTGTATATGATGGGATTCAGCATAGGTGGTATTGTCTGTGTCAGGGAATTGTTAATTATCCGGGTGTTTGGATGGAAAAATGTTGTTAAGGCTGCAATATGATTGCTTAAAATTGGGAGATAAAAAATTGCCACCAATATGAGATGTGAGGTGCAGGTTTTCATTGCCTTGATCCGGTCAGCACCATGAGCGATCTTAAGCAGAGTAAGAGCAATGCAGAAATATGAAATAAAGATCAGTATTGGAGGTATGCAAATCAGAAGACCAAAGCTAAGTTTTCCCATCATAATATGCACAAAAATATCATTACAGGCTAGTCTATATATAGGGGCAAAATCACAGTAATAAGTATCAATTACATTAGATCTACAAAAAGAGAGTCTATTGACCAAATTTACAAGTACAGAAAAAAAGGTCACAGAAAAAATCCATATCACCCCTATGATCAGAAACATGGCTGGTTTGGTTACAATGGCATGATAGCGTAGAGGAAAACAAATAGCAACAAATCTGTCATAAGCCAAAACAAGTAGTGTCAAAGACTGCAGATTCATGAAATGAAACACAAAAAATATATTTGCCAAACATGCTTCATATAAAATTTCCTGGTGCTCAAATAAAAACACATCTATGAGTTTTGGAATCAAAGCCGAGCTTCCACACAGATCAGAAAAGGCCAGATGAAAAACAGCAATGTATTTGGCTGTGTGAAGTCTGCGAGCCAAATAAATGATACACATGATTAATGAATTCCCTAAAACAGTCACAACATACACTAAAGACAAGAACACATAGTAGTATTTTGCAAGTGGAATATTAACAAAGCCTTTGATGAAAAATGTTGCAGGACGAACAAAGGACGCATTTGCAGAGGAGTTTGACTGCATGGAGCTCATGATACCTGTTGGCTTTTTGTATCACCTGTGATGAAGAACTGTTATAGAAATGCACTCAGTAACTGAGAACATTCGAATATTGATTTCATTTCCAGTCACAGTGAATGTCCTGCTCTAATATGATAGATTCTAAAATAACAATGCAACCATTGACTCACTACAGTAAAATCATTAGATAGAAACAGCAGAAACACATGGTTTATACTCTACCTTCTCCAATACTGCCACACAATCATTATTCTATCAGCTATCATACATATTTATATTGAATTATTCTCCTGCACTTGGGACTTAGGTTCATGGATCAGCCCTTCTTCCTCCAGACTTCAGGGGAGGGAAATGGTAGGAGTAATCTTTACAAACTATGATTGAGAAAAATAAACAAGATAACAAAAACTTTTATCTCAAAGCTTTTTAAAGTTGATATAATGTATTGACCCATGATAACAGAGGAATTTGCCAAGGAGGGGCTGTCACGAGGAGCATCAGTTTGGGGAACCAAGTCCGGCTGGACCAATATGGTACTACCAAGAGAACCTGCTCCTCGTCCTCCCTGACCTTGCCCAGAGTCTGTGCGAGAAGGCTCACTGGGGGAAACGCATATTTGCGTAGGCCCTGAGTAGCGTCCTTGAACTGAACCCTGCTGCCCACTAGCGAAGGGAGAGGGGGCCGGCTGAGTGGAGACTGAGTCTCGTGCACCGCCGTCCTCATCCTCTTGGGACCCGGAGGCAAAGGAAACTGCTCTTTTATTGAAGTTTTGGGTACCACTGGCTGGGTAGCCAGTGGCGGAACAAAAACAAACGGAAATATAAGATTCTCCACCCGGTTCTCCTCCGGGGGAAGGAGTGGTGCAGTCACCATCTCCTGAAGAGCAGGTTCCAAGAGCTCCAGGTCGCCCGTCTCAGGGACGCCGCCTGCTCTGGCGCTTCACGGGCTAGGCAGGGGCGGAGGCGGGCTGCGCCGGTTTCCTGCAGCCAGCTCCACGCTGCGGCCGTTGTGAAAGTTGCTGTTGTGGCTGCGCCGGAGTGGAGGCGGAGGCCACAGGAGGGCGCCCTCGGCGACGAGCAGACAGAGGGGCTGCAGCCGGCGGTGGGGTGCGGACAGCAGCAGACCGTCGGGGCAGGATGTGTCGGAACGCCTCCGTCTGCTTCTGTGCGGTGGAGAACTGTTGGGCAAAGCCCTCCACCGCTTCGCCGAATAGGCCGGCCTGGGAGATCGGGGAGTCCAGGAAGCGATGCTTGTCGGGCTCCCTCATATCCGCCAAGGTCAGCCATAGGTGGCGCTCCTGGACCACCAATGTGGACATCGTCTGACCCAGGGCTTACACCGTGACTTTCGTCGCGCTAAGCGCGATGTCCGTCGCCATGCAGGGCGGAAGCGGCCTGTCCAGCAGCACTGTAAGCCTTAGCCGTCAGAGCGGACGAGAACTTACAGGCCCTGGACGGAAGGCGTGGACTACCTCTCCAGGCGGCGGCGCTTTGCGGGCAGAGCTGCATGGCAATCGCGCGCTCGACCGGAGGAATGTCCACATACCCTTGGGCCGCCCCCCCCCGTCGAGGGTGGTGAGGACGGAGGAGGCACCAAGTCTGTTTTGGGCAGAAAAAGGTGCCTTCCAAGACTTAGTAGCCTCCTCATGCACTCCTGGGAAGAATGGAACCAGAGGTGGCTGCCGATGCCCGCCTGCGCCCCCAGGAACCAATCATCCAGCCTCGAGCGTTCGGGAGAAGGCGGAGGCCTCCAGTGCAGCCCGACACTCTCGGCGGCCCGGGAAAGCATATAGCGGTCAGCTCTGGATCTGACTCGGGCAACGCCACTCTTCCTGACGGTGGCAGCGCAGCCGAATCCTCATCTCCAGAGCCTAGCTCGCCCTCTGATGCAGCGATCGACAACCTGTCCTCTGCCTGTGTATCTTTAAAAAGACGCCCGTCGCTCGTGAAGCTCTTTTAGAAATTGATCTTTTAGAAGGAAACACACTCTTTTAGAGAGAGCGCTGAAACGCCCAGGGGAGGTTGCGGCGAGACCGCAGAATGGAAGCTGCAGCCCACCGAGGTTTTGCTTCACGATGCCATAGAAGAACCTTTTTGTCTAAATGGTTCCATAAAGAACCTTTAACATCTGAAGAACCTTTCTGTTTCACAAAAGGTTCTTTGTGGCGAAAGAAGGTTCTTCAGATTATAAAAAGGTAAGAAAGAGATGGTTCTTTAAAGAACCTTTGACTGAATGGTTCTTTGTGGAACCAAAAATGGTTCTTCTATGGTATCGCTTGAAGAACCGTTTGAAGCACCTTTATTTTTAAGAGTGTAGAACACTCGCGGAGATTCGTCCTGTAGAAGGCTCGGCTCCGAAGCGAAAAGCTGATGTGCGTTTGCATACGCTCTCCTTTTATACCCGCGCTGCAGGGCGGGGTGCGCGTGGCGAAACACGCACGCCAACTGTCATTGGCTTGTTTAGTTAACACTCGAAGGTGATTGGGCTCTCGGGCGAGATCCCAATTCGTCAGTCACGACTGACGTAACGTAGAATGTGACTGACTGAAAGGGAACTAATATTATTGTCTGAAATATTAATATCAACCACGCGTCCCAATTTAAAAATTATTGATTCATTTGCAAAGTAAAGAAATATACAGGGACTTTCATAGTCCTATTACTAAAAAAGAAATTGTGGCATAAATATGTTTGATTTGTTATCTTCCATTTATCCCATCTTTTGAACAAACAGGCTTGTTTTCTTTTTATCTTTTTTATTTTTATTTTCCCATTATACCCCTGAGAGATGAACTGGAAGGTTCCACCCTTTTCTGTCTACAGACAACTGTCAAAAGTTACAAAATCAATAATACTATTGTAAAACAATGTTTTGGGAAGTTGTGTTTTTTCTGCATTATGCTTTTTTGTCAAAAAAATTATGGATTGAACAGAAGATTCAGGATTAATGGTTCAAAGTTGAACATTTATGTTTTTTAATGTCATATAAGGATTAAGTTCACTGAAGCACATGCCTGCATTACATGGTCTGGAATCACTCTCAAGAAAAAAAATGTCACCCTGCAAAAGAAAGAAATACCTGATAATATGTCATATTACAGAATGGTGGGAATAAGTAAATTATAAGTAAACGGCAAACATATCACAGACAAAGAAGTGTTTCGAAAACCTTTTGACATTAGCGGAAAAAACTGTGACAAAGGATTTTTTTATACTAGCATGTCTAATTTATACAAGATACAAGATGGACAAAGTCTCATTCAAATAGATAATGAAAACAATCCAAAAGTAAAATAAGTTCAATATAGTTTTAACAACCTTTTAAATAAGTCCTTTTTGATCACTTTCAATTTCTTACACTGAATTTCATAATTTTTTCACTAGTTGTATTCACCCTACTTCGTTTGTACAGTTCTTTACAACATACACTAAAGCCAAGAACCCATAGTAGTATTTTGCATGTGGAACATTAGAAAAGCCATTGAGGTAAAATGTTGCAGGACGAACAAAGGTCACATTTGCGGAGGAGTCTGACTGCATGGAGCTCATGATACCTGTTGTCTGGCTTTTTGTGTCACCTGTGATTCAATCCATTCAAAAAACAGAGAATGTTCAAGTAATCATTTCATTTCCAGTCACAGAGCATTAATGAAAATGCCTTAATTTTCTTTGATAAAATCATATTGAACATATTTGATAAGAGGCAGTAAAAGCATTACAGAGAAACAGAGCAGAGGAAACATATGGTTTATACTCTACCTTCTCCAAAGGTGCCACCATCTCACTATTTTACCAGCCATCAGATAAATATATAGTAGATCATACTCTTGCACATGGGACTTCAGTTCAGAGATCACCCCTTCTCCTTACAGATTTGAAGAAAAAGATGCAGGAGTAATGCGATACAACTGTATAGTTACTGTAAAGCTGTATAAAGAGGGACAACTTATGAAATTATGCCCCCCAAAATACAGGGGATATAGTGGGTCTGACTTGTATGTAGCCCACATAGCCATTGAAGTATTTAAGTATATAGCAGTTAAAATTCTCCTTCTAAAAGAAAAAGAAAATAAAAATAGTTCTTAATCCTTTTTCTAATTTTAGTTTCCCGTTCTTCCTTAATAAAGCTAAACGGGAGAGGACATACACACACACACACACACACATATATACTGTATATATACATACATTACCGCGGGAAGTAGGGGTGCTGCAGCACCCCCTGGAGTGTCGCCCACGAAAAAATGGGGGTGCTGGGGGTGCGGTGTTAAAAATAAATGAATGAACAATATGTAATAAAAAATAAATAAAATTAATTGTATTAATTTGTATATTCATTAAAATTTATTGAAAAAAGTAGCCTAAGCCTACAATGACAAGAAGCAACCGTTAAACATGAGTCAAGTTGAATCAAATTGACTGTGAAAGTTGTTTCAACTTATTAAACTTCTTAAACTGACTTAAAAAAAACATTTGTTGCCATGGTTTTTTGATTATATTCAGTGGCGTAGCGTCTAGGTATGCAGGTACATATGGGCCCGGGCAGATTGGGGGCCCGCCGAGCTGAGGGGAACTTTTAATTGAAACGAGGAAATGAATTTTCCTGCAATTTCCCTGAATTGCCCTTGTCCGACAGCTTATCAGAATTCTCAGCTCATTTCGAATTATCGAATTATCTCACTACAAATTAAAGAGCGTAAAAACACATTTATTGTTTGTATTTTATCATAAAATTGACAGAAGGCTGAGACTTTGTAGTAACAAAGCACAAAGCTGCGATTAGCTATTGGGTGGCTTGCGTGCTATGGACTTGAAAATTTTAAATATAATTTCCAAGCATTAAGCCTATACCATAAAACAGCTTGTGAATAGTCATGATTCACGTAACGTTATTTACTTCAGAAAAATCAACAATAGGGCCCAAATTAAGTTAACCGAGTTGAAGCCCATAACGTTGCAAAAAAAATGCTATTTTTTGCATATGGGCCCGGGGCTGACTTGCTACGCCACTGA